ATGGGAGGGGAAATGTGAGCACAGGTGAAACTGGAGCAAGGGCTGAAAGTTTCTACCAGCATTTGCTTGGAGCCATTTGCTTGGTTTGGAGGAAAAAAAAAATATAAGAAGCATCTAACTTTGCTGTTTTCTATCCAGCTGTCCCCCCATGTGTGCTTATTTGCACTCATTCCCAATACAAGGGCTTCCAAAGCTTTCCCAGGCATGAAACAACTGGTTTTGCACTCAAACCAAGACAGAACCTTCTACTTGAATGATAAAATTTTCCTGCTTCCTCCTGTTTTCTTCTAGATCATCAGGAAATGCAAATGGCATCCCCTTTTTGAGGTTAATTGCTTTTATGGAAGGGTTGCTGAGCAGTATTACCTTGCACCAGCTGAGAAATTGGCCCTGGAAGCAGCTCAGCCTCCAACATCTTCAACCAGCACAATAACCAAGGTCTGCTGTTGGCCACATTTAACACTGCTGTGGAAATGCTTGCCATAAAATCCTTTTTGAAATTCCAATATTAATGCATTTCCTAACAATGCTAAGGAGAGCCTGCACCAACAGGGGAAAAGGCTGGCAAACACCAGCAGTCCTAGGGCATCAGAAAACTGTAGGTGAAGATGCTTTTTTGCCAAGTTTGACCATAAAAACTGCCCAAAACTTCTCCCCATCCTTCTTCTTAGCACCTGCTGTATCCCTGACATGTTCCTGTGATGGTGCTCTTGGGTAGAAGTTTTACTGGAACATGGAATTGCTGTTTTTCAGAGAAGACAGCTGGATGGGCAAAACTCCCCTTAAAAAGAACCTTTCTGGAATGTGCTGTTCAACAAGCTTCCCTTTGAGGAGGGACTTCTTTGAAATAAAATCACTTTGCAGAAGGTGTTATTGCTCCTCATTAAGTGTATTCTATGTAAATTTGATACAGAACAGAAGAAATTCTTGGGGACACCACCTCCTACCAACCCCTGGCCACAAAGCTTTCTCCAGGAAGGACCACCTGATGTGATGAAAGGACTGGTGTTGTTTGTTTTCTTCTTCTATGCATACAATGGTGAGATTGAATATTCAGCTCTGCTTTAGCTGCTGCACGAGTAAATAGCCTGGATATTTAATTACTGCAGCACATTGACCTGGAAAGCAACGTGAGTTTTTTTCCTGGCTGGCACATGACACCAGCTTGGCAAAAAAAAACCCCAAAACATTGGAGAGGAGCAGTGAAGCAGTGGACTGGGAGTGGGAAGGAACACTAAATTTACCTGTGTATCACCAATCACTTCCAGAGAGATAAAAACCAGCAACAGAGCCCTACACTCCTTCACCCCCTAAAGCACCGCTGTACCTGGCCCCCACCTTCTTCCCAGGAGAAATCTCTTGGATCCAATAACGATTCACACTTTTCAGCCACAGGACCAAGGAGAGGCAGTTTGATGCCCCCATCCCTCATACCAATGGTGGGGGTGTCCCTGGCTGGCACAAAAAGCCAAACCAGAGACCTGGTGCCCAGCTTCTCCTGGGGGCTGTGTGTCCCCAGGAACACTTGGGCAAGGAGCACTCAAACCCCTCACCAGCTGGGTGGTATCTGCAGCTCAGGCAGAGCTCAGGCAGCAGCTGAGCTGCCACACAAGTTGTGCTGAACATTTCTGTGTGCAGCACGGGACAAATGATGGTTCTGTGCTGCAGCATAAATGACACCCCATTAGAGAGTCTGGGGCTTTGGGGGTCCGGCAGACATGAAACCACAACTTTCCATTTTCCATGCAGAAACCTCAAAGAAACAAACTATTTTTTTTTAAAGCAACTGCTTGGGTGAGCAATGATTTTATTGTGCTATTAATATGACCATAAACAAGAACAACATGTGTTTATAGGCTCAAGTGCTTCATTACTCGCTCGCTGACATGGTAGAAATCACTGTGGCATCAGTTTAAAGTGCAAAATGGAGCAAATCATTGTAGCCACGTTGTAAAATCATCTGGGCAGGCAACCTTTGAACAAAGGCAATTGATAGCTCTGAGGCAGCTGTACAACAGCAGTAAACAGAATAGTTGTCCACAAGCCACCAGACCTGCAGGAGAGCAGATACACCCCATGCCTTGGAAGGGGAGAGAGCTCCAAGGGGGCTGAGAAAGGTTTGGGAAAGAGAAGTAAAGGTTGTTCTCTGAAGGTGACAGAGCTGCTGTTGGCACAGAGCCCAAGGCTGGAGCTAGGAGGGGTGGGACAGTGCCTGCCCTGGGGAGAGCCCCTGGTCAGCTGCAGGGTCCGGTTCTCCCAGACCTCAGTTTCGTGTCTGATGTCCTCCAACCCTGCTACCCCAAACATTCCTGTGACAAACTGTGTGGGCTGAGCTGGGCTGTGCCACCAGGAGGCTGTGGGAGCAGGACTGAGGATGTACCCTGAGCTGGGAAGATCCAAACTTTCCCATGGTTTTTGTTCACATCTGCTGGGGCAAATGCTCCTCTTCGCCATGTGATGGAGGGTACAAAGGGACGTGGATCCCCAGGGAAGGATTTCAAAGTGGCAACAGGGAGAAGAATGGCTAAATATTGCATGGATCCCCTGGATGTGGGTCTGCAAGCCTGGGACCTGCACAGGGTGCTGGTTTCTCTGTGGGTGCAAAGACCTGGAGGGAAGGAATTTCCTCTGTCCCACAGGGCTGGGCAGATGCCACCTCTGCCATGAGGAGACCAAGGGACGCCAGCCTGCAGGAGGGGCTCCTGCCCTGGGAATGGGAGGGAAAAATTGGAAAACACCGCCAAGAAGTGAAAAACTGACATTGTGGGTGATGTCACCAGCGAGGGCAGGGAGTGAGCAGGAAGGAAAAATTACACATGTCCCAGTTGTTTCACTTCTTGTCCCTCTGCCTCGTTTCGTCTGTCACCAGCCCCCGGCGCATCCTGACGGTTACCAACAGGCAATAAATAAAACCTCTGGAGCCACTGGTGTCAACATCTTGGCATTGTTTAGGTCTCCTTGTTTGCCTTTAAAATAACTCTCCTCCTCGGGGTCATGCAGATGAAAAAGCGAGGACCCCCTGCCATCACCCATAGAAATCATCCTGCCATGACTTGGGCTGCCTTTTTTTATTCCTTCCTGCAAAGTTTGGGGTTTGGGGAGGTGCCTGGCAGCTCTGCTTATTACCCAGAGCTCTGCTGCCTCTTCCCTCGGGCCACATCACCCACTTCCCTGGCTCCCAGAGGCACACTCAGGGCTGGGTTTGGGATGGTGTAGCCCGTGCTGCTGGCTTATCTGCTGCCTGGCTGTGCCTGGCTCTGCTGCGGATGTTGGCTGGCCAGAGAGTGGAAAAACAAACGGTGGAGATGCGGATCCATGGTCAGATCCTGGCCCTGCAAACATGGTGTGCCAGCTCCGGGCCTGGCACTGGAGGGAGACCATTCCATGACAGCCTTTGCCCTGGCACTGGAGCTTGGCATCATGCAGGCTGCTAATGGGGCTCTGGAGGCACAAGAAACACTCCTCCAAAGACAATTTTCATCATGGGCTTTGATAAAAGGGTGGCTTGAACCCTCACCATGCCGGCACAGACCAGCCCCTGCAGGGCACCAGTGCTCCCCAGGGCCTGGAGCATCTCCTTTCCTCCAGCATGGTGGAAAGCATCATCCTCCATCCCAGCTGAGATGTGACCTGATGTCAGACTCACTCTCCCTGATCCTCCTTAGCCTGTTGTTTATAATAAAAATCAAGCGATCCATCTCTTCTGACAAGAGGAAGAGTTGCTCCAGGAAGCCCTGGACAGGTCAATTTCTATATAAAGGAACTATTACTTGACAGTTTCCTGGCCATAAATAGCTGTACAGCGAGGCTGGGGATTTTATTTAGAAATAACAAATAAAGTAGGCCATAAGTAACTTCATGACCTTGCTCCCCCCTCATTTCCCACCCATCTCTCCCCTTCAGTAGGGTCTATTCCTCATCTCCAGGTTCCTTGGGACTTACAGGACCCCCATTTCCCACTTCTGAGATGGTGCAGAAACATGCTGTTGCCAGCTTTTGAAGTGTGGTGTGGGTTTTGCATCACTGAAGATTTTTTGCTACAGCTCAGCTCCAATAAATTGTTTTTTACCTCACCTTCATTAAAATAATTAAAAAGCAATTTGGTCTGCATGGCTGAAAGCTGGAAATCTTCCACTCAAAACATCCCCAAAACTGGATTCAAACAATTACACCTCCCACAAACCCCTTATTTTTCAGTCCCTCAAGCCTTTTCTTTAAGTTTTGGACGACTAACTTCTGATTTTCTAATGCTCGCACTTGGCAACATCAAAACCAATCAGGAAATACAAAAGAAAAACCCAGCATTTTAGTATTCTTTTATTATTGGGAGGTTTTGACCATTTTTGTCATGTCCTTTGCCTAAAATAATAATAAAAACCTCTTTGTTTGGAGCTGGAAAGGGAAGAGCAGCGTGTTTATTTCATGTATGACTCATCAGCTCAGTGTTGATACGCGAAATGCTTCAGAAGCTAACACTCTATAGAGATGATTGTTTTTAATATAAAACAGTAAATGTTTAAAACAACCATTCTTTGTTTTTTTCTCTCTCTTTTCTTCCTGTTGTGGCCAATAAAACATAAGGCAGGCCACGTAGCTTACATTTTAATAAAATTAAGTTATTTGGTGCCATGTTATTACAGTCTTTTATTGGAAAGTGGAATAAATTGCACACAGTGGAGTCATAGGAGGGAGAAATCACTGCGAATAAACAGATTCTGGGATGCATTTATTTGCTGGTTTCATCTCAGAGGAGGAAGGCTTTCCCCAGGAAAATGGAGGCTCCGGCCTTGGGGAAGGATGAGTTTTTGGGGACCTGGTGCCGCAGTGGGGCCATCCCAGCCCCATCCAGCTGGCCTTTCCCAAGGGCATCCTCCAACAGAAACCTGTCCTGTGGCTGTGCTGGGTGCTCCTCAGTGCGGGGCGCCGGGGCAGCTCGTTCTCCTGCCCATCTCACGGCCACAAAGGTTGGTCCCGAGGCTCTCTGTGGGTGCAGGTGGCTCCTAGGCCAGCGCCAGGGCACACCAGGAGTCCTGCCGGAGGGGCACGCTCAGCCCGGGCTGCGGGGCCATGCTGCCCCCAGAGAAGCTGTAGTCCTCGGGCTCGAACTTGAACTCGCCGGGCAGCGCCTCGTCCGACTGGCTCTGTGCCTGCCCCGGGGGAACAGAGGGGTTAGGAGGGACGGCATCAGCCCCTGGGCTGTGGTCATGGGGCACAGGAGGGCTGGGATGGGGTGGGAACAGGGTGGGTGTGGTATACATAGGCAGCCTCAACGAGGGGAGAGAATGATGTATCTGCCTCTATTTTATCAGAAGGTTAAATATTATATTCTATTATTCTATATTGTATTCTATTATTCAATATTATATTCCATGATGTTATGTTATGTTATATTGCATTATATTATGTAATATAATATAATAATATTATATTATTATATAATTATGTTATATTATTATAATAAAATAATATAACATAATATAATATTATGTTATATTACATTATATTATTCTATATTCTATTCTATTATTCTATTATTCCATATTCTATTATTCTGTTATTCCATATTCTTTATTCTATTATTGTATATTCCATTCTATTCAATTCTATTATTCTATATTCTATTCTATTCTATTATTCTATTATTCTATTATATTATATAGAATCATATCGTATCACGTTATTCTATATTCTATATTCTATTCTATTCTTCTATATTATATTACACTATGTCATATTACATCTAAACTGAATCTGCCAAGCACTCAACTGCACACAACTGCACAGAACCTCGTGACTGTCACCCAACAGTCCCAACTCACACACACACCCGGCCCTGACAGGCCAAGGAAACAAAACACCATCACTGTGGGTAAATAATCTCCATATTGCATTCTAATTTGGCACAAACATGGGCACAAAAAATGATAAGAATCGTTTTTCCTTTCTCTGAGGTTCAAAGAATGTGAAACACAGAAATATTCCTGGGAAGGATTGTGCCTTGCTTTTCTCTGTGAAGAGAAATGTGGCAACAGGTGGGTTATCCCTGATGCTAGAATTCCCTTCAGAGCAGTCTAGAGCTGGGCAGGATGGTCCCTGCAAGTAAAATGACCAAGCAAAGAGGAGGCATCCCAGGGCCCATCTGCAGTTATTCATTGATTAAATATGTCTATTTTTAGGTGTGTGCATATTTTTTCAGAGCACAGCACAAACCATATTTCCTGGTTTCAAACAAAAACCCCACCCTACGTGGTGTAACCAGTGCTGCACCAGGCCCTTGGGTGTTGGGGCTGAGCTTCTTCTCCATATACACATGTCCAGCTCAGGGAGAGATTAGATTCAGCATAAAGATAGTGCTGGGCACAAAATTTTCATGTGTTGGTGGATTTAGACCCTTTTCCTTCCTATATCAAGGTGAAATAGCAACCAGCCCCTAAGAAAAGCTTGGGACAGAAGTGAGGCCTCTGACAGGTCACAGCTCTGTGGCCACTGAGCACTTGAGGGCTGAAAGGTGCAGGTAACACATACCCAGGGAGCCTTTTCTTGGGAGCTACAGGGGATTCCACCCTGGGCTGATCTCATCAACTCAGCAGTGTTGTGCTTTCATGGCAGGAGGTGGGAATTAACCTCAGCTCTGCACAGAAGCCACAGCAGAGCTTGGGCACTGCAGTTCTCCACTGCAGGACGAAAGATCCCATGGGAAGCCAAGAGGCTGGAGACCTTTCTCATCCACAGCATCTTGGGAGCTCACGCTCCCTGCTTTCCTCTGCAGGCTGGTGGCCACTGTGCAATGAATGAATTGCTTCACCTCATCCAGGCCCCCAGGAGAGTGGCCGTGGAGGCGTGTGCATGTCCCACCCAGCAGGAGATGGCTCTGGGCCTGTCCCTTACCTGGGACACCGACACAATGGTTTGTCCAGGGTACTGTGAGGTTGTGCTGGGCTCTGACTTTAAAGTGACCGTGCTGTCTGAGGTGGTGATGGAAGAAGGGGAGTTCGTGGCCGAAGTCGTGGATCCTGGAAGACAATTGGAAGAGGGCAGTGAAGCAATGGAGGTGCAAATCTGCTTTTAAAAAAATTATATTTTAACAGCGACCATGACATCTCACAGCACAACTCTACTGTTTTCTTTCTAACACATTTGTGTCAGAAAACACTTCGTATTAGGCTGATGCTGATGGAAGATGAGCAACCCTTTCACAATCTGGCAGTGTTTTGTTCCCTTTACTCAGTTTACCCGAATCTGCTCACACATGAGCACTGCTCACTGGAGCCAGGTGCCCACAGCCCAGAGGAACCTCACAAGAATGTGACAGCACTGAGATTTCCCACTGAGCATCTTCCTATCACACAAGGTCTGTGCAGAAATACAGGCCCAACATCTAAAGCAATCACCAAGGAAAAATTCTCATTATTTTCTAATTATCATAATTGTGAAGTGAACTGAGCTCCAAGACCCCAGGATGGATCATAACAGCACTGTACCTGTTGAGGCTTTGCCTTTGGTAATGTTTTTTGGCTTCCTTTTCCTCGTCTGGATACTTTCCTTTTTCATGGCCAGAGGTCGTGGTACCTTGACATTCATAAAGTTTAGAATCATTAATATTGTATTTTATTCAGCTCCTTCCCACACATGTTGCTCTCCTATTTCTGTGCTGTAGCTCATGCAAAGCACCTAAAGTCCTTGTCCTTCACTAAGAGCTATTTTTCTCTGCATCAGGCCTTGGCTGGAAGATATATAAGGCTAACAGCTAAGGCTTTCCCACAAATTTTGTTTTTTCCTTTATTTCCTATTTTTCTTTTCCTGATTTATTAGTGACCTCTGCAACGAGGCCCTATTAAATTACACTGACAGACTGAGAGCCTACAGGGCTCAGAGGGAATGGGCATGGGGTAAAGAGGCTTCAAGCTTTATGCAGGGATGCAGTCTCCCCTTGGACTGGTGGACATGTCACCAACAGCTCCCATCCTCTGTGGGTAAATGTTATCAGCCAGCCTCCACGTGGGCTCCTCAGCCTCCTTCACACATTCTTAATTAGGACATGGAAAAGAAATAAGCTCCTTATCTCAGCCAGGGTTTGGGAGCTTCAGCCTCCAGCTACAGGAGCCTGGTAAGCTTTCATTTCATGGAATCCTAGGACGGTTTGGGTTGGAAGGGATCTTAAAGATCATGTAGTTCCAGCTCCTCTGCCACAGGCAGGGAAACCTTCCACTACCCCAGGCTGCTCCAAGGCCCATCCAGCCTGGCCTTGGACACTTCCAGGGATGGAGCATCCACATCTCTGGGCAAGCTGAGAGCATTCCAGCATGCCTCACCCTGGAGAACGCCCATGGACCGCGCTTAAACTGTCCAAGGAGATGGGGCTGTGGCACAGCTCTGCTGGGTCCAGTCTAGAGGCTGCTCCTTCCAGAGCTGATCCTAGCCCTGCTGGGCAGTGATCCCAGCCCCCAGAGGATCCCTCCCGGGGTGGATGTGCTCCTCACCCCGTGGAGCTTCATGTACAAGCCGCAGGCGTTGCAGACGGGCTCGCCCTCGGCGTTCCTCCTCCACAGCGTGGTGTTGGTGGTGTGGCAGTTAGTGCAACAAAGGCCAGCACGTCTCGAGGAAGACTTCAAAGCAAGCAAACCAACACGTGAGTGCACACAAGGAGTGATGAACTGGGAAGTTTCCCTTCGTATCAAAATGAAATCTCCGAGCACACCATATTCCCAGAAAATGCGAAACGCGCAAGAGCCAAATTCAGATCAAAGAAATTACATTCAAATGAGATCACTCTAATTTGCAAGTGTTTGTTTGGTTTGGGTTTTTAAAATTTGTTTTTGTTTGGAGGTTGGTTTTTTCTTGTTTTTTGTGATTGATAAACCTAGAAAATATCCTTGCAACTCATTTCACAAACTTTCAGCAAATCTGCTGGAAGTGATCAGGGCTCAGAGCATGGAGAACTTGCCTCCCGAACATCCACTCAGATGGAGAAAGAGATGGAAAATGCCAGCTGGGCTTTAAATGCATGAAGAAAACTCATGCTTTAAGTGAACTCTTCTGTTTTCCTGCACTCAGAGATACCACTAAGGTTAAAAACATCCCAATTAATCTCTGGGTATGACAACTGGAATCAGTTGGCTGAACTGAGCAGAACCAAACTGAACTGGTCCATGATGAGACCAGGGAGGTTATTCTTCAAGTCTCACAGATAATCTGTTCTCTTACAGGCTGCAGAAACACCCTGCAGATGTTAATTAACAACATATTTTGTGAGTGCAGTGATTTCTGGCTCTTAAACATTAATAATTCCAAATGGAGAAGGAAAATAGTCTGGCAGAAGCAGCAAACTAATTTCTGACAACTTCCCTCCAAAGCCAATGGAAAATTCACATCTCTCTTTATACAGACTAGTCAGCTCAATAGACATTTCATTGGAGAGTCTTTTAACACCAGGCATTGAAACTATTTTAATAAAAAACCTCACTAAGTGTAAGATACCTCTGTCATAAGTAATATCTCAGGCTCTCCACATTCAGGTGTCTAAATACGCTCTTCAGCCACCAGAAAAATAGTTTTGAATCTGCTCAAAGGCAGACAAAAGGTGATGGAGGCAATAAAGAACTCCCTGTTTGTTTATTTTTCTATTATTGCTTGATATTCTGACTGAGCAATATAACAAATAAGGTGGGAAGAGGAGGATTAAAAATGAAATGTTTTTACAAGGTTAGCAGTCAAATAGAGATCAGCTTTGAATTCCAAGAGGCACAAGTGACATGCCCTAGGTTTGATTCACTCGTTGCTCAGCAAAGAGGTCTCAGCAACTATTTGCAAATAATGGCACCACTTTGGGAATTATTCAGCTTGCAAGAAATAACCAGGCAAAAGTAATAATATACCAAAGGGTGAGCTGACAAGCCTGGCACAGTGGATGAGACAACGATCTTTGTCCCTGACATGGTGTCACAGCAAGATCCTGGGGCAGCTACACAGTGCCCTGTGGAGCCTTTCAGCTGCCAGGGCTGTGCTGCTCTTCCCTGCAAGCAGCAGGGACCTCGGCTCCCACGGGAGCAGGGGAGGTGCTGAGCACCTGAAGGATGCAAGGATTCTCAAGTCCAACTCCTGCTGTGGGCACGGAGGGGAATTTGGAGCCACTCAGCCCTGGGATAAGTGCCTGCTGTAATCTGTCCTCGCCTGCAGATGGGGGAAGACCGGTGCAAAGCCCTTTGGAAAGTCTCAAATTTTGTGGGCCAGCACAGGTCCCTGTGCGGGAGTGACCCTCTCCCTGTTTCACAGGATGCTTTGTCAGCGGCTTGCAGAGGAGGGGACAATGGGACCTGTGGCTCTGGCGGCCCAAGGGCAATGCCAGCCTCACCAGAGCTCTGCCCACCCTGCCAGCACTGCTCACAACCTGCTTGTGGCCCTCCTGCAGGGACAGTGACAATGCCTTCTATGCATCCTGCAGGCTGGCTCCTCCTCACACAGCCAGGGAGAGGAGAAACCATCCTACATCACCAATATTACAATTTAAACCTCAGAAATCCCATGAGAACCTGCCCCTCACCACAACCTGCCAGCTTAGCAAGAGACAGTCAAGGCTACCATTGCTCACTGAAGGACAGGGTACAATACATTATTGCTGGTTTCCCAGCAATTCTCTTGAAAGAAAATGCATTTCAGCCTGCCTCCACCCCACTGCCTTTGTACCATTCTGACCTTGTTAGGAAGTTGTTGATTTCAACATTGTGCTCAGTGTTTATTTATACAAATGCACCATACACTCAAACAAAAACTCTTCACAGACCTGGCTTGACAGCCAAGTGCTGCTGATAAGCTCAAGGAATGGTGAGTTGGTGCCTATTGAATTAACTGTGTGTGAGAGCTGCTTGGAGAGCCCAAAAAATTCAAAGCCAGCAGGGAAGGTCCTTTTGAGTGAGACCAAGCTGCCAGGAACTTTGCTTCACCTCCTTTTCAAATGTGGAAAAGAAACCACTGGGTTTCACAGGGGAAAAAAAGGCACTGAACCCTCTGATTTAATCAATGCTTCTATGCCCCCATTTCCAACAGGTTTGAGGGGACCTGTGGTTTGCAGGAAGGTTAGAGCAAAGTGTGCTGAGATATCTGGGCTCAACTCCTCAAAGTGGGGAACTCAGAGGCTCAGAGGCAAAGGCAGCAGCATCCTCTGAGATTCACAGCTCTGGGCAAGCCTGCACCTTGGAGGATGAGGGAGCAGTAAGAACCGAGGGGCAGAAGAAACCCAAGGCACACACCATGAGATGGCCCTAGGATCCTGTTAGACTGCCCCAGGGCTGTGATAGGTCCCATCCCCACCTTCCCCGAGGTGTCACCAAGCCCACTGTGCATTGCAAACTGTAAAAAAGGACAGGCTGAAAAAATTCCTCCTGGGCTGAGGTGGAAAAAGCATTCTCTGAGCCAAGCTGGAAGAATTAAGCTCCAGGTTAGCCCTGCAGCTCTGGGTGGTGTGAGGCTGTTGAGCATCTCCCCATGCTCCACTGTGCAGAGCAGAACCCCTCCTAACAGGGGAATTGCAGCTGCCTTCAGCTTCACCAGCTGCTCCTGGTTTCAAAGGTGATCTGGATTTTCAGACTTGGTCTAAGATACCATCTTGTGAAACACACTAAAAAACCTTGGCTAGAAAAGATGCTGCCTAAAATAAAGTGCTGCCTCCATCCTCCTCTAACACAAACCCTTTCTGCTGAGAGCCTCAGCCTTTTAAATCCAGACACAGGCTGCAGCAGAGTGGCTGTCCCTGCTGTGTAGAGGATGTTGCCCTTATCTCAAAAAAAAAAAAAAAAAAAGAAAAAAAAAAAGAAAAAAAAAAAGAAAAAAAGGAAACAAAAAATGAATTGGAAACTACACAACTGCTGCTCTCCCCCTCCCATGCAGGAGCAGGCTGAGCTGCAGGACATCATTCCCCCAGTGTTATCTGGGCTGTGTTGTGTCCTCTTCTGGGGGACTTTGCTTCATGAAAGCAGAAGTCAGAATAACTCCCAGAGCAGTGTCTACGTACAGAACAAAGGTCGTAACGTAAAGGATGAAAGCAAACTTTTTTTTCTCCTGTGTCTGTATTTCACTGCACTGAGAAAATGGATTTCACTGTTTCTACAGTCACTGCATTCATTGCTCTGCTCCCAGAGCTGGCACCCTCTTGCCCATCACCAGTAGATCCCTCTTATTCCAAAAGGGCAGAACTTGTTGCAACAAGACATTTCACGTTCTTGGGAAAACCCAAGGTTTCAAAATGTCAGAATGGAAAGTCAAAATTGCAGCCCCTTCTCTAATCCATAAACCAAAATCCCCTCAAGTATTTCAACCCTAGCAAAATGCTTCCCCGGACAAAAATCAGCTCTTTCATTTAAGCTTTATAATTTTGCATTTATTGCCAAAATAATAAAAAAGTTTGGAAGTGTTTTGGTAATTCCCAACTATATTTGTTCATCCCTGAGAAATGGTCTTAATTCTGCAAACAAGCGTTTTCCATCTGAAAACTTTGTTGAAATGTTGGTTAAAAAATGCCTGATGGGTGCTAGAGATGAGGCTCAGGCAGGCAATGCACAGCTGTGTCTCTTCCCATGTGCTGAAATAAAGTACGGAATAGCAGCGAGATGTCTCCAATTCCCTCACGGAAAAGCTGCTCAAAAATCCCCTAGAAATTCATCCAGTGACACATTTGGATGCCAGTTTGAAATGCAGAGTTGGATTTGAACTGGTTTGCACCCCTCTGTATGCACGGGTCGTGTTTGCCCAGAAGAAATCAGCAGCGTAACTCTGAGATTGCGGCACAGCGGCGACCGGGGGCTCAGATTTAATGTCACCACATTTAAGGAGACAGAAAGATTTTGGAGGGACAGGCAAATCCTGTTGGATAATGCTGAATGTTACACAAAAATGCCTTGATTTTAATGTGATGAACAAAACAGGGGTATTTTCCACGGAGCTACTATTCATTTCATTTTGCAAATCTAGAGCTACATTTCCGAGGGTCAGAATCAGAATGAAACATCTTGCTCAATCTCAACTTTTTCTTTATTCCTGACTGATTTTCATACACAGGAACTTGCCACTTTTGGGTTATTGCTAATAATTTGGTTTGCAATACCAAAAAATAGCTGCAGGAATACACCCCTAGTAAAAGCCCAAGGAGCTCCCAGCTGTTCCCCAGAACAGTTCCAGCAAACATCCTGTTTGTAATGACGGCGTCTGATGACAAGCTCTAAAACCAAAACTGTTACCACCAAATTTAAACATCCCGAAGCGACTCCACAAAAAAATAAAAAAGGATGTGCCTTTCCTCTCTCGCCATGGGATCCCAATTGGAGGAAGCCCAATATTACAGTGACAGAGGGAATGAATGCTTTCACCAGCAGGGAAACTGGGAACTGCCAAACCCCAAATTTTCCCCTTAGGCAGGAGGGTGAAGGCAGCAGGGAGCAGGGCCCCATCCTGCTCCCATTGTGAGCAGCCACAAACCCACTGGGGCAGCTAATAATAATAATAATAATAATAATAATAATAATAATAATAACGACAACAACAACAACAACAATAGAGTACAAAGCAAAACAACCAATGCAGAAATAGAGCTAGGGGAAGCCTGCAGAGTCCCGACCACAGAGTGATTGTTCCTGCTCAGCTCTGGTGCTCCCCTCCAGTCCCTTCAGCCCTGTCTCCACTGCCCACCATTTGTGCCAGGGCAGAAATCCCTCTGGCTTCACCCCATTCCCCCAACCCCAGCCGGTTCTGTGCTGCAACACGGGTGTCCTGGCATTTAATCTGTGCCAGGACAGGGGGTCAAACAGAGCCTAACACGAGTACAGAGACCCCAACAGCCACGGCGACAGCCCCCCAGCCCCTGCCCTCCGGCCAGCCCCGGGTGGAGCAGGGGATCCCGGCGGGGTCTCCCTCTCTTACCAGCCTCTTCTGCGGCTTGAGCGGCCGGTTGATGCCGTTCATTTTGTGGTAGAGCCCGCAGGCGTTGCACAGGTAGTGCCCGGTGCCGTCCTTCCTCCAGAGCGGGGTGGACATGGCTCCGCAGTTGACGCATTCGCGGCCGTCCCCGGGGAACTCCTCCAGGTACTCTGGAACGAACAGCGGCGGTGAGAGGGGCAGAGCCATCCCCAGAGCACGGGGCATCCCCCGGGACCCAGCGGGAAAAGGTCTCCGATCCTCTGTGCCCCAATAGCACAGGAAATCCCTGTCCTCTGGAGGGGCTTTACCGCCACCCTAATAGCGTGACCCAAACCCCTTTATTTCCTCCACATCTTAAACTTTTAATATTTGATTCAAAGACCGCCTATTCCCCCATCCCTTCCCTGAAAGACGCCAAAGGGGCTGAACAGGGCTGGGATCTCCCTGGGATGGGGAGGGTCATCAGCGGGACAGTGCGGTGTTATCTCGGGGTGCAAAAATAAATGGGAGACGGGGAAAAATGGGGCGATTTTCCTGATTTCCATCACGAAACACACCCAACCTCTGGCCGGGGGGGACGGCCCGGCCGGGGAAGGCTCTGAGCTGCCTCCGAGAGATGCCGGGCTGGCACCCGCGGGCATCTCGGGCTCCCCAGGAGAGCATCACCGGCTCTTCATCACTTTTTCGGAAAAAAAAAAGTCCATGGAAGGAGCGGCAGAGCACCGTCCGCGGTCCATTCCTGCCCCGAGCGCGGCTCAGCCGCAAACGGGAAGCCCGGAGCGAAATCGGGACACCTCTCAATGGAGAGTCGGTCTTTTTGTTCCGACCGCTTTTTCCCCTTCTTTTTAAAAAAACCCTTATTCTTCTTGTTCTTTTCTTTAGGAGAAAAAAAATATATATATTTTTTTAAATCTTCGATCAGATTAATAACGATGCAACGGAAAGAAAAAGGAAAAAGAGCAAAACTTTAAAAGGAGGGAAATGGAAAATAGAAATAACACGTAAACAGAAAAGGTAAAAAAATATTGCAGTAATTCACTGAATTTAAAAAAAAAAGGGAAAATGGAGGGAAAAAAAAAAAAAAGAAAAAAGAATACTTTAGGCTACTTGAGAGAGTTTACACTATCCGAGAATAAAAATAAACGGCAGAGAGGACGGCAGCCGCTATCCTGGATCCTAAACCACCGAATTCGAAGTGCAGAAAAGATTTCTGAGGCATCACCTCCCTCAGCAGGACGATCTTTTCCCGCACAATGCCAAAGGATTTTCACAAAGGGAAACCCTGGAAAGCAAGCGCTGCCCAGCACCTCCGGCGAGGCAGGAAAAGCCGAGCCGGGGAGGGAGCTCGGCGGAGAGGGGGCTGCTCCCTGCTCTAACTTTGTTCTTGGGGTGAAGATAAGATAATTCGGTTCACCGCAGTAAAGATGATAACGCGGCTGAGATCTTGAAGTGGCTTTTAAAGGACTTCGCAAACCACAGCCGGAGGAGGCTGGTGGAGTGCCCCCGGGGTTATAAACCCCGCGCACCAAGAGTCCTGTTAAATCAAGCCCGAAACTTTATTTGCTCGGAGCTTGGTGTAAGGGGACTCTCGGCGTGGGTGCAAAGGAATTGAAGTTTATTGTTCAACGCCTGAGCGCCTTTCGGTGTCTCCCCAAAGGCCACAGAGCAATGCAGCTGCGGACCTGTTTGGGCGAAGGCAAATGAGGAGACCGAGAGTCTGTTCAAATATAAACTAATTTACCACAATAAATTACTTAAAAGGGAGGGAGCTATAAATCTGCCCCGCTAATTTAAACACAAGGGTAAGTATTGAAGCACAGGCACAAAGTCGATATTGTGGGAAGGAGATACCGCGGGGGTGCTGGCGGGGTGGGGAGGGAAAGGCTTGAACGGCCTCTACTTCTCTGTACTCCGGGGGAATTGCTCTGCTTTGAAACGCGGTCTTTGCCCCCTCCCTTATCCCACCTCTGTCCGGGGTCAGCCGCACATATCCCATTCCCGGACCATCTCCCCATCCCTGGATAAAATCATCCTCTCCTCTCCCGTCGGGGATGCCAGCGGGACAGCTCATCCCGGGGCCGGGCCACTGACACGGAGAAGGGATGGCATGGAGAATTGGGATGGGGTGTGAGATATGGGATGGGGTATGGGATTGGGATGGGGTATGGGATTGGGATGGGGTATGGGATCGGGATGGGGTATGGGATTGGGATCGGGATGGGGTATGGGATTAGGATTGGGATGGGGTATGGGATTGGGATGGGGGTGGCTCCCACCCAGCTCCCCGAGACGTCGCTGAAGGGCGGCGGCCACCTACCGAAAGTAGACCTGCGGCCGGGCAAGGCCGCCTGCCTGGTCTGCAGGCTGTGCAGCACGCTGCTCTCGAAGTGTCCGGCCGTCCAGGAAGGCGGTATCTCGGGGGTCACGTAGGCGGGGTAGGGGCTGGAGTAGGACCCGTTAACGGAGCGCACCAAGGCGTTGCCGTACTGCTCCCGGCCCCCGCCGCCCAGCAGCAGGGGCCCCTGGTAGGCGCCGTCGCGGCCCGAGGGGCTGCTGCCCGGCGGGCTGTGCGAGTACGAGAAGCCCGAGGGCGGGTGGGGGCTGCCCGCGTTGAAAGCCGCGGCCTCGCCGCCGCTCTGCCCCCAGCCCGGGGCGTTGCCCAGGTGGCTCTGGTGCGGCTCGCAGCCTTGCAGGTAGGGCAGCGTCTGCAGCACGGAGGGCACCCGCGTGGTGGGCACGTAGACGGGCGAGCCGGCCGACGAGTGGAGGAAGTTGCTGGAGTCGTGGGAATAAGCCGACTGGCCATGGTTGGGGGTGAGGGCCAGACCCTGATACATGTTCCGTCCTCGGCCGCGGCGGCTGCTCAGGGCCCGCGGGGCTCACTCAGAGGAACCTGGAGGGAGAACCGAGAGCAGCGCGCTGAGACCCCGCACACACCGGGACCCGACGGCCTTTCCCCCGCTGAAAACGCCTCTTCCCCGCCTCGAACAGGGGCTGAAATTTGTAAATTTTTCCCCCCTTTGTTTTGTTTTCCTTTAAACTTTCCTCTGAGGCCCGGCGAGGAATAATCTCCTTGGAACGGGCAGCGACCCCTCCGGCACCTTCACCCTCCCCGCCGCCCGCCTGGGCACCTCCAACGGGCCGGAAAAACACTCCAACAATTAAATTATTTTTCCCAATAGTATTTCCCTTCCCGTCCTTTTTTTTTTTTTCCCAAACAGGGCCTGGAGCGCAGCTCGGGGCCTTGTTGGCGAGGACGCGGCCGGCTGCGGCCCCTGGGGTTCCCTGCGGGAGCGGGGTCCCGACGGATCTGGGCAGAGATCCAGGATCGGGAGCATCCCCGTTGTCCCCCAGCCACCAGCGCTGCCGCTTTCCTGTTAAAAAGCTCAATAACCCTCGGGCAGGCCTCTCCGTGCAGACGGAGGGCTGCAGCCGCCGAACCCCGCAAGAGCATCCCGCCCGCACAGGTACTCACATGGCAGCGTGCCGGGAGCGGAGCCGGGCATGGCCGTGGGGGCATGGAGCTGTGCTCAGACCATCCAGGGGAATCCCAGCAAAATAAAAGTAATAATAATAAAAATAAAATAAAAAACAAAACCAATGAAGTTCACGGGGGAGGCAGGAGAAAAAAAACACCAAACCAGCGGGACCCCCTGGAAGACAGGGGCTGCCCTCCCCCGCTGTCCCCCCTGTCGCCTCCCCGTGTCCCGTGGGTGCGTCCCTGGCTGCGCCCGGCGGGGAAGTGGCGGCGGCGGCTCCGGCTCCGGCTCTTTACGGCGGCCCCGGTGCGGGCGGGCCCACGTGACGGCCGGCGGGGCAGCCCCGGTCCCGGCCGGGATTGGGCGCCTCCCGCCAGGGGGGGACGGGATAAGTCCCGGCGGCTCCGCTGCCGCGGGGGGGACGCGCCCGCAGCCTCCCCCTGGCGCGGGGCCGGGCGGAGCGGGGGCAGCTGCGGCCCCCAGAGCGCCCGCACCGCCCCGGGCCCGCCGGCGGGGCTGGAGGTGTCCGCCCGCCCCCGGGGAGGGCTGGGGGGTGGCTCCCTGCTCTGCGGGCCCCGCTGCGTTTGTGGGGTTCGCTCCCACACCCCGTCTGGAGGTGATGCCCCCCCGGCCCCGGGCCGCCAGGAGATGCTGGGGAACGCACCGAAAACTTCCCGGCGGGGATCTGCTAGCCGAGGATGAGAGCGGGGTGTTTTCTGCTCCGAGCGAGCCCTGCGATTCTGTTTCGACATAAACCCCATCCTTACGGGGAAGGGGCGGCTCAGCCTGCCCCTGGCCCGCCCTGGCTTTCTCCAGCGGCCCACGGGCCGGCCGAGGATGCGGCGATGCTCGCAGCCCGCCCGTTCCGGCCGTGCCTTTGCCACGTTCGGAGCGCAGCTCCGGCCCCTCACCGTCCCGTCGGGGCTGCCCCGCTTCCCGGGGCTCCGCTGTTCCCCGGGGGAAGCAGCCGGGAGAAGGCTTCTCCTCCCTGCAGCACCCCGGCCGGGTCGCTCTGGTTTGGCGACGGGGACAAAAAAACCCAAAACCTCTCCCAGTTGTTCCCCGTCGGCGCGAGCCGGGAAGGGACTTCAGAGGGGAAGGAGCTCTTAGTCCCAGCAGCCCTCTTACCCCGGGTAATTCAGCCGATTTACCTCTCCTCCGGTACCGGCCAGCGAGGAAATAATTCCATAATTCCATCGTTACCGGGATTTGTTCCCCGGAATTATTGCGCTTTTGCACAAAGCCGCCTTGCCTCTATCTCCTCCCCAGAGAAACGGGGAAAAACCCTCGGCGAATCTCGCCCGCCGCTCTCTCCATCCCCGGGCAGACAGAATTTTGTCTCCCGCAGGCCTCGACCGACCGGATCGGGTCCCGCTGGGCCCCGGGAGCGCTCCGGTAACGCGGCCGGCGCTGCCCGCCCGTGCGGTCCCGGCGCCCGGGGGAGCCCGTCCAGCCTCGCCTCCGCAGGGAGCAGCGCTGCGGGAAGGGTGGGAAATTTCAGCTCCAAAATAAACTGGTGCAGGAATGCCAGCTATTTCCCTCGGAATAATGCAACGCAACTTGGCTGGAGATGTATTTATTTGCTCGCGAAAGCGGCCGCTTACGGCTCGCAGGGTATCCCTGTGCCCGCAGAGCGAAAGGAGAAAACAAAACCAAAACAACTCACTCCCCCCAAACAAACAAAGAAAAAACAAAACAGAATTTTAAAGAGGAGAAAAATAAGGAGAGAAAAAAGAATATTTTTAAAAAGTCAGAAAAATAAAAAATTTTAAATGTGAAAAAGCTATAGAAAAAGAAAATAAAAAACCCGGGAAGCCCCAGCCCCGCGGCGGCACGGATAAAACCGTGCCTACAGAAAACCAGCCCCAAACCCTTCGTTGCTGTGGCTGAGCCACCGCTGGAGCTTTCTTCGTTTCGTTTCGCGTGGGTTTCCAGTTTTCACAATTTCAAGACGTTACTTAGCTGTAATTTATTATATGTAATTTTTTAAAAACACGTACGAACTGCCCTCTCCGATCACTTCTTGCGTTCAAATCAATGTGAAAACGTTGAAATAAACGAGGCGCTGCTAAATCCGGAGGGATGCACCCGGCGGGGAAACCACCGTGCGCGAAAACCTGCCCGCGGACCTGTGGCGTGTCTGTGGCCACGTCCATCCAGCTGTTGGGGTTTTCTGTTTAATATTTTTATTTATTTTAACTAGTTTTTCAAGGCATTTACTCCTCGGGTGGTGTCGGGGCTGCCGAGGCCGCGGCGAGGGGCGGCGGGTCCAAGGAGCGGCTCCTCCCGCAGCAGCGCCCGCGGGCGCGGAGCGGCTCCGGGCAGGTGCTGCGACACCGAGGGTTCCAGCAGCACATCCCGGTCCCCCGGGGCTGTGTTGGTGTCACCCACGCGTGAGGACTGCGTGTGAGAGGCGCCGTGGGTTGGGGTGTTTGTAGGATTTTGGGTAAAGGGGACACGCAGGGGGCTCAGGGGTCCTTCTCTGTGCGGAAGGCCCCGCTGGGCGATGCTGGGTGTGAAGTGGGAGGAAAGGTGCCAGCGTGGCAGCGGTGGCAGTGGCGATGCCCCGTCCACAGCCCTCGCACTCGGGGAAGTCACACCGGGGTTGGGGACACGGGGCCCCCGGGGCTCTCCCGGTGCTCGCTGCCCCACCGAGGGCACCCCGGCGTGGCGGCTGTCAAGTTCATAGAGAGGATTAGATACAAAAATCATAACTCAGCACGGGTGAGGGTGATGCCCGGCATCCCCGACCCCGCTCCGCCATCCCCGGTGCGCGGTGGGACAGCGGGAAGGCCGCTCGGGAGAGGCACCCTGGAGGTGCCTCCGGAGCTCTGAGCCCTTACCGGGCCCACGGTCCGTCTGACGGGCTGAGTCCGACCCGGCTCCGCTCGTCCCGGGGCATTCGACCACTTATTTTGAGGGGTTGGGAAAAAGCCCGACCTATTCCTAAAGGCTCCCTATGCCCCCTCACCGCCCCGTCCAGGCACAGCTTGACTCCGGCTGAGTTCCAGAGGGGCCGGTGCGGCTCGACACGGCCCCGAGGGAGCCCTGACCCCTCCAGGTGAGGCTCCCCCGGGCCGGGACAGACTGCCCGGCGCCCCGGCCCCTCGGCCCTAATCCTGCTCCGGCTGATTTGTGAGTCCTGCGCGGGCCGGACGCGTGGGAGCGTCCTGCGCCCTCCCGGAGGGGGCTTTTAGCTCCCCCTTCCCCCACGGAAAAGCCAAGGGGGGGAAAAAAAGAAAAGACAAGTGGAGAGAGAAGGGCAGAAACGTTCCCGCTCCTGCTGCACCGGGCAGGGCAGCAAGGCTCACCCCGAGCGGGGAAACTTCAGTTGCCTTTCCCCTCAGTGCACTGGGAGGCGACAATTAATGATGTCCCCTTTCCTTCCTCTGCTTCCTCCGGGCTGCAGCAGCATCCTTCCCCGGGGCTCAGAGGTGTTTCACAGCCCCTGCCCTCGGGGATGCCGGGCAGGGAGAGCTCCGAGCTCCGAACCGAGCCGAGGCGGTGCCCGCACGGGGCTCTGCCCTGCATCGCCCGCCCGGCCGGCACCGGGCCCCTCCGATCCCCCCTCCCGAGCCACCCCGTGAAAAGGGAAACCCATCGCATATCTCGGCCCTTCAGCCCCGATGGATGGCATGGGGCTGCTCCCGGCTCTGCTCCCAGCTCACAGTGAAGGACAAACTGCTCGAGGGCACAGGGATCATTCCCCTGCCCGTGAATGAGGGAGATGGACAGGAGGGGACCAACAGGGCCTGCATCTCCTGCATCCCCCGGTCTCCATTGCTGACACATTCCCAAGTCCACATTCCCAGGTGTGTATCCTTCCATCCAACCCCCAGCCCCTTCCTGCCCACTCTCCAAGGGATGGGCTGGTCCCTGCCCAGGGACCAAGCTCAGGTACCTCCTGCACTCGAGGCCAGGCTGATTCCAAAGGCAGGGCTGTGATGGACACAGCCGGGGCTGGGGGAGATCCTGTCCAATGAGAGGCTGTGGGCAAGGACTGAGCTGCCCCAGACGAGGTTTGTGCCTGGAAGAGTGAGGGGATGCCAGAGAGCTGTGTCTCAAAAGGGTTAAATAAACAGCAGGGTCTGCCAAAAATATTTATCTCCTGTTATATGCATGTGGCTGTGGCTCTCAGCAAGGGGGGCTGTGATAGAGATGGGGGAAAGTATTTGATTTTTTCCCCCTCTTGCTCTGAGATACTGTTTTCCTCCTTAGCCCACAAGATTTCACCAGCATGGAAAATAAAAGGTGTCCTGCAGAGATTGTTGTTTGCTGTCCCCTACAGATCCCTTATACTGGGATGCTTCAGTCTCAGCCATGCCTCCAGCCTCTCATGAGCCAAAAATGGCTGCACA